TTGGCCCCTGGGCCTGAGTTTGACATGTCTGCAATAAACCTTTTTCATGACAGCTGCCCCACATAAATCTGCCCCATCACCAAATCTTCAACCAACAAGTCCTGCAAAGGATAAACATTCTGACATGAAAAAATGATCCACAACTATCAAGGTAAGAAAGAGGAAACCTCAAAGGAGAACATGTGAAAAATCCCAGGTAGAATCCACGGTAATTTAGAACTGAAGAAGCAGCTCGGATGTGCTGCGAAACGTATTCGACCAAATAAACTTTGTCCATTTACAAACTGAATTTCTCCTTTGCCTTAAAGGAGAACAACGACTAACATTAGTGAACTACTGAGCAGAACGTTATGGTCACGAATAAAACAGAAGGAACATGTTCAGTCTGATTCTAGAATTTGAATTAAAATTAAAAATCGATTTCATGATGTCGATATTAGCATAGATAGATAGATTTATGTAATTCGAAAGCATCTCTAGGATACAGTAATATTAGTTTTGCTCAGTGTGTCACTAATGCTCGTCGCTGTTCACCTTGAAGTTTTCATCTTTCTTACCTTTATAGTTGTGGATAAATTCTTCATGTTAGAATGTTTACCCTTTGTGGAGCTTGTTGGTTGAAGATTTGTTGATGGGGCAGATTTATGAAGCTGCTGGAGAATACGACACACATTTACACACACATTTTGCCACAGAAAACTATTAACCCAAAGTTCCGCAAACCTACAACGCGGGACTTCCGGCCGTTGTGATAAAGGTCTATTGGGGTGAATTTGGAGCAGAGTTCCACGTTAGAAATTCCGATCACAAGTCTCACAGAAACCAAACAGCCAATCAGGACCGAGCAGTGAGCGAGCGCTTAGTAAGACTGTCAATCAAACCCGTTGTCAATGCTTAGAGGGAGTGACTGCGGGGAAAGAAGACGCCTGATTTATCTGTTATTGTCGAGTACAGAGATATCGGTGACGTTTTTTAATATAAAGTGAATTGTAGTCAAAGTCAGTCATGTCCATTTATATAAACAGACTATGACACGGACACTGGAGGCGAGGCGGGTTAAGTGTCTTGCCCAAGGACACAACAACAACTCCCAATGATGCTTTTTATACGTGGAGAGCAACTTTTGGATCAGAGAAGTCCATCAACACTTTACTGAGCTACAGACACCCCTATATGGTATAAGGCAAGTTTATTTGTAGAGCACAATTTGTAAACAAAGTGCTTTACAGAATAAGAAAGACATTAAAATCACAATACAAGGAAATCAAAACATAATTAATCATCATAAAATTAAGAAGAGAGAAAGAGAAGTTAAATTAGAGAGAAGAGTGTGGAATGAAAAATGAAAACCTTTCACTTAGACGCAGCTAAACAGAACTGTTTTGGAGCCTGGATTTAAACAGAGTCAAAGTAGAGTCTGTCTCACATGTTCAGTAAGACTGTTCAAGGTTTTAGCTGCATGAATCTGAGGTTACATTTACACTGAAACGAACCAGAAATGATCTGCGTCCAGACACGTTGTTTCTGTGTCTGCAAGTCTTCCCTATCCACACAGCTTTGCACATGTTGCTTAAGTTTTACAGAAATTAAACTTAAAACCACATGGTTAATTTGCATAAATGAAGCGCTCAAAAACACAGCTTGGTCCTCGTGCGCTGATGCGGTTCAGCTTCTGTCGAACTAAAGGACACGACTCAGTGGAATATGAGAGTTCTTTCTGCGACAGAGGGGGGTTCTGTTAACCGTGTGTGAAGTTGCAGCGGCCGATTTCAAGTCGAGGAAGATGGCAAGAGTGAAAACAGTCTTTTCGTGGACCATGTACTAGCAAGTAGTTCTAGCTCCGCTGTTTCCCGTTTGTCTCTGGTTTGTTTAAACCAGAGGTGTCAAACATATGGCCTGGGGGCTGGATCCGGCCCTCCAAGACCTTTAATCTGGCCCTCGGCTGATTTTCTACTCAAATATTTTAATTATATTTTCTATTAAAATATTGCTAATTTTCTGCGGCGCTTAGCATAGCAGCGTCTCTAGCGTCTCTGTACGTGGCCCCTCCCACCAGAGCAGCACAAATGAAGACTTGTCTCTTTCCAAACGCTCTTAAAGGACGATCGTTTTGACTGTTGACCGTGACACCCTCATCAACAAAATGTCAAAAATGAGAAAAGTGCAGAATTTTCCAAAAAAAATTTACTTATTCCTATTTGCATACAAGTTAAGGTTAAAACATTGTGTTAAAATTGCATTTTTCTTAAAATTTCAGGTTGTTCATAATATTATAATAATTGGTAAAAGAAAGAGTTCATCAGTTAAAAAAGATTTCTGTAATAGATTTGTGTTTCTCTGCACAAATATTTGAACTTATTGTTATTTTTGGGGTTTATATGCCATGAGTTTTCCGATCCGCCCCGTTTGGGATCAAAATAGGTTGGATACGGCCCCCGGACCAAAATGAGTTTGACACCCCTGGTTAAAACTGTTTTCTGTAATAGCGTCACATGACCGATGTCATGAACCCAGCAAATCAGGAAGGCACAGTAACGTGGTCCCAATAAGGACACAACTAGAGCTCCTATGTCAGTGTATCAACGTTTTCAGGTGTCCACACAGTGTCGGATCAGATCTGTACTCAGATGAATTCATGGGAGCTGAAGGCACCAGATCGTTCCGTCTCTGGAGCCGTTTTCCATCAGATTAGCGTGAACGAACACTGTATCTACAACGAAAACGACTCGAATACGACTAGTGTGGACGGGGCCTGAAGCTCCCCAGAGTGCGAGACGGTTCATACATGTCACAGTTGTACAGTTGCAATCAAAATTATTCAACCCTTACAGAAAATTAGGTTTACTGGTAAAACGTACAAACTCGTAGCTGTTTACAAAAAAGAAATCAAACAAGAACAATTTAAATAGCTCAGTACAACTAATATCACAAGTGGTTTCTCCAAATTCAACACAAAATGCAACTTTTAATCACTACTGCCGTCTCGAAATGATTCAACCCCTTCATGACAAGCACCTGTAGTTCTTCGTAGAGCACCTTTTGCTGCAAACGTGATGCACAGCCAGACATCAGCTTCTGGCAGCGTTCCTGAAGAATCTTAGCCCATTCCTCGTATCCCCCCGGTGATTTTAATTGTTCTTGTTTGATTTATTTTTGTAAACAGCTGCTAGATTGTACATTTTACCAATAAACCTACAGGAGTCGCATGGATAAATCTCTCCAAGTCTGCTTTAGACAGTAAACCTTTGATTTTTGCTGGTTTTTAGATGGTAAAAAGCTGCAGATGTTATTCATTTGAAGTTCAAGTCTGAGTCCATTATTACCCTGAGATTTCTTGCCTGATTTGAAGGTTTTGGAGAGAGAGACTGGAGGTGACTGCTGGAACTGTCTCTTTGTTTCTGTGGGCCAAAGACTATGATTTCTGTCTTGTCTGAGTTTAGCTGGAGAAAGTTGAGCTGGAGAAAATTGGTAAAAATAAGCTTAGAGGAAGAGCAAGTGTCATTGTAAAATTGTGCAAAAAACTTTTTAATCACAGGGAAATGAGAAAATCAAACAATGTAGTACAATCTCCAACTGCAAAATCACCAGTAAAGAGGCGATGTGATGTTTGCAGCTGTTTGAATCCTTACAGTGAATACAGCCATTGTGTCTTTTGGCAAGACACATAATTATATAATAATGTTGTGACCTGCTCACATACATACATAAAGTTGTGTTTTGTTTCATTCACTGTTACGGCTCAAGATTTCGTGCTGTGGTTTGAGGTGTTGGGAAGGTGACTTTTAAAATGTATTCCCCTACAGATTACAGATTACATCCCCCAAAATGTAGTTTGTAACGTAATCCATTAAATTACTTAAAGTGAGTAATGTAATCTGAATACTTTGGATTACTTGATTTGCTGTAGAGAAGCAAAGACGAGGAAATCGTAACATAAGATGTTTTGTCTGTTAAAAGAAAATAAAAAGCCCAGATTTTACTGAACTAAATAAAAAATAGTATCGATAGAAGAGGAGGAGACACGTCCACGCAGCAGGATTTAGTCCTGTTAAATCCTGTTTTAGTCCTGGTTTAGTCCTGTTTTGGTCCTGGTTTGGTCCTGGTTTAGACTTGTTTTAGTCCTGGTTTAGACCTGGTTTAGTCCTGTTTTGGTCCTGGTTTGGTCCTGGTTTAGACCTGGTTTAGATCTAGTTTAGACCTGGTTTTAGTCCTGGTTCAATCCTGTTTTAGTCCTGGTTTAGTCCTGGTTTAGATCTGATTTAGTCTTGGTTTAGTCCTGGTTTAGATCTGATTTAGTCTTGGTTTAGTCCTGGTTTAGACCTGGTTTTAGACCTGTTTTAGACCTGGTTTAGATCTAGTTTAGACCTGGTTTTAGTCCTGGTTTAGTCCTGGTTTAAACCTGGTTTAGATCTAGTTTAGACCTGGTTTAGTCCTGTTTTAGTCCTGGTTTAGACCTGTTTTAGATCTAGTTTAGCTCTGGTTTAGACCTGGTTTTAGTCCTGGTTTAGATCTAGTTTAGACCTGGTTTTAGTCCTGGTTAAGTCCTGTTTTAGTCCTGGTTAAGATCTAGTTTAGACCTGGTTTAGTTTCCGGCAATGAGTGGAATTAGCGAGAAAAAACAAACAAAAAATAACAACAACAACAACAAACCGAATACAGTTACTCATAATTTGTACTCTGATTACATAACTCCGGTACATGTAATCTGTTACTCCCCGACACTGTTACTAAGTACGTAGAGCGTTAGTGGCGTCACCGGTAGCAACCCACAGAAAACATAGACAAAGTGTTGCATTTTGGCCTCTACACACGTTATAATGTTGTTACCTCGTCAAAAACAGACCTGAAGTTGTGTTTTGTTTCATCCACACGTTTGAGTAACTCTTTATTTTTAGTCTGTCGACGTCTCCAAAGGTCAAAATGCTCAAACACATTAGAATCCAGGTTCTTTATAAACACCGTGGACAACTTCCTTATGCCTTTTTTTGTTCAAAATCCAGGAAATGCTGAAAGACGAGGTGCGGACGCTGACCTACCGTAACTCCATGTACCACAACAAGCACATCTTCAAGGACAAAATCGTGCTGGACGTTGGCAGCGGCACCGGGATCCTGTCCATGTTTGCAGCCAAAGCCGGAGCCAAACACGTGTACGGGGTGAGTCCTGCTTTTATCATCCACCGGCACCGGGGCATCAGGGCTAATCACTGCAGTCTGACAAGCTGCTGCTACAGATAAACAAGTCTGTCCTAAAACGTGTACTTTTAAAGGTCCCGTATTACGCAAAACTGACTCTTGTGAGATTTAAGACGAGTTATAATCTTGTTACCTTCTCAAAAACAGAGCTGGAGTTGTGTTTTGTTGTGTTTTTAAACTCCAGACACTTTCCTTAGAAACTTCTGGATAACTTTCAGCCCTGGGTAGTACATTATTGGCGATTAATTGCAACATTTAGATCACCATGTTACCTGTTTTTGATTGTTTTGAAAATGTTTTATTTACAGAAAAGCACAAACAGCTTGGGGTTCTCTCTCTCTCTCAAGTCCAAGATTAGTCCTGGTTTAGACCTAGTTTATTCCTGGTGTAGTCATGGTTCAGTCCTGGTTTAGTTCTGATTTAGACCTGGTTTAGTCCTGGTTCCTGGTTCAGTTCTGGTTCACTTCTGGTTTAGACCTGGTTCAGTCCTGGTTTAGACCTTGTTGAGATCTGGTTTAATCCTGGTTTAGTCCTTGTTTAGACCGGGTTTAGACCTAGTTTAATTCCTGATCTAGTCCTGGTGTAGTCATGGTTCAGTCCTGGTTTAGACCTGGTTTAGTCCTGGTTCCTCGTTCAGTCCTGGTTCACTTCTGTTTAGACCTGCTTCAGTCCTGGTTTAGACCTTGTTGAGATCTGGTTTAATCCTGGTTTAGTCCTTGTTTAGTCCTGGTTTAGACCTAGTTTAATTCTGAGTCCTGGTCTAGACCTGGTCTAGTCCTGGTTTAATCCTGGTTCAGTCCTGGTTCACTTCTGGTTTAGTCTTGCTTTAGTCCTGGTTTAGACCTGATTTAGTCCTTCTTCAGCTCTGGTTTAATCCTGGTTTAATCCTGGTTTAGTCCTGGTTTAGTCCTGGTTTAGACCTGATTTAGACCTGTTTTTAATCCTGGTTTAGACCTGGTTTAGTCCTTCTTCAGCTCTGGTTTAGTCCTGGTTTAATCCTGGTTTAGTCCTGGTTTAGTCCTGGTTTAGACCTGGTTTAGTCCTGGTTTATTCCTGGTTTAGTCCTGATTCAGTTCTGGTTTAGTCCTGGTTTAGTCCTCGTTCAGTCCTTGTTCTCTTTTGGTTTAGTACTTGTTTAGACCTGGTTTGGTCCTGGTTCACTTCTGGTTTAGACCTGGTTTAAATCTTGGTTTAGTCCTGGTTTAGACCTGATTTATCTCTGGTTTAGAACTGTTTTAGTCCTGGTTTAGACCTGGTTTATTCCTGGTTCACTTCTGGTTTAGTCCTGGTTCACTTCTGGTTGAGACCTGGTTTAGTCCTGATTTAGCTCTGGTTTAGTCCCGGTTTAATCCTGGTTCAGTCCTGGTTAAGTCCTGCTTTAGACCTGGTTTAGTCCTGGTTTAGACCTGGTTTAGACCTAGTTTAGACCTGGTTTAGACCTAGTTTAATCCCGGTTTAGTCCTGGTTTAGTCCTGGTTCACTTCTGGTTGAGACCTGGTTTAGTCCTGATTTAGCTCTGGTTTAGACCTGGTTTAGACCTAGTTTAGACCTGGTTTAGACCTGGTTTAGACCTAGTTTAGACCTAGTTTAATCCCGGTTTAGTCCTGGTTAAGTCCTGCTTTAGACCTGGTTTAGTCCTGGTTTAGACCTGGTTTAGACCTGGTTTAGACCTAGTTTAGACCTGGTTTAGACCTGGTTTAGACCTAGGTTTAGACCTGGTTTAGACCTGGTTTAGACCTAGTTTAGACCTAGTTTAATCCTGGTTTAGTCCTGGTTTGGTCCTGGTTCACTTCTGGTTTAGTCCTGGTTTAGACCTGGTTTATCCTGGTTTAGACCTGTTTTAGTCCTGTTTTAGTCCTGGTTTAGTCCTGGTTTAGTCCTGGTTTAGACCTGGTTTAGACCTAGTTTAGACCTAGTTTAGACCTAGTTTAATCCCGGTTTAGTCCTGGTTTGGTTCAGTCCTGGTTCACTTCTGGTTTAGTCCTGGTCCAGGTGAGCTTTATTCCTCACATCAATAACGTCTCAAATCACTTACCCCCACTTTAAACCCCCTGACAGTCTGCGGGCGTCTGTGGGCGTCTGCGGGCGCGTTTGCGATGAGGAAACAGCATTTTAACATCAGAAAACAGCGTCGTCTGACCCTTTAGAGTTTTGGGGGTCACGTCGCGGGACCCGTCTGAGCCCTGGAAAAGTCCGTCTGTTATACTGAATGTAATTGGTCTGGTGTTAGCGCGGCGAACGTGCCGGATACGCACACACCATCACCACATGGATCTGATTGTAGCTCCGGTCCCCGTCAGACTGAACCTGCCGCGGTCTGGTTGTGATTATCCCGGCCCTGCCTCTGGAGACTCGTTGACGTTATGTGTTTATACGTGTGTGGCCCCCTGTCAGTGTCGGTTTAACTTCACCGGGATGTGGGCTGAACGCTGCCGTCTCCAGAATGTATTCCCCTACAGATTACAGATTACATACCTCAAAATAATCCATTCAGTTACTTAAAGTGAGTAATGTAATCTGAATATTTTGGATTATTTGATTTGCTGTAGAGAAGCAAAGACGAGGATATCGTAACGTAAGATGTTTTGTCTGATAAAAGAAAATAAAAAACCCAGACTTTACGGAACCGTATTAAAAATATAATTGATAGAAGAAGAGGAGACACGTCCACGCAAGCATGATTTAGTCCTGTTAAATCCTGTTTTAGTCCTGTTTAGTCCTGTTAATCCTGGTTTAGTCCTGGTTTTAGACCTGTTTTAGTTCCTGGTTTAAATCTTGTTAGAATCCTGTTTTTAGTCCTGGTTTAGTCCTGGTTTAGTCCTGGTTTAGATCCTGGTTTTTAGTCCTGGTTTTAGTCCTGGTTTTAGACCTGGTTTAGATCTAGTTTTAGACCCTTTTAGTTTTAGACCTGGTTTTAGTCCTGGTTTAGTCCTGGTTTTAGACCTGGTTTAGACCTGGTTTAGATCTCGTTTAGACCTGGTTTTAGTCCTGATTTACTCCTGGTTTAGACCTGTTTTAGTCCTGGTTTAGTAGTCCTGGTTTTGGTTTAGTCCTGGTTTAGTCCTGGTTTTAGTCCTGGTTTTACCTGGTTTAGACCTGGTTTAGTCTGGTTTAGACCTGTTTTAGTCCTGATTTACTCCTGGTTTAGTCCTGGTTTAGTCCTGGTTTTAGTCCTGGTTTTAGTCCTGGTTTAGTTTGGTTTAGTCCTGGTTTAGTCTGGTTTTAGTCCTGGTTTTAGTCCTGGTTTAGACCTATTTTAGACCTGTTTAGACCTGTTTTAGTCCTGGTTTAGTCCTGGTTTTAGTCCTGGTTTTCCTGGTTTAGACCTGGTTTTAGTCCTGGTTTAGTCCTGGTTTAGTCCTGGTTTAGTCCGTGTTTAGTCCTGGTTTTAGTCCTGGTTTTAGACCTGGTTTAGATCTATTTTAGACCTAGTTTAGACCTGGTTTTAGTCCTGGTTTAGTCCTGGTTTTAGACCTGGTTTAGACCTGGTTTTAGTCCTGGTTTAATCCTGGTTCAGTTCTGGTTTATTCCTGGTTTAGTCCTGGTTTAGTTCCTGGTTTAGTCCTGTTTTAGTCCTGGTTTAGACCTGTTTTAGAGCTGGTTTTAGTCCTGGTTCAGTCCTGGTTTAGTCCTGGTTCAGTTCTGGTTTAGTCCTGGTTTAGTCCTCGGTTCAGTCCATATACGGCGCAAAAGTTCCTCATCTTCGCAATTATTTTAGTGAAAGTAACTTAAAAGTGCTGCAATAGTCGTGTAATGTTTTACATTTTAAACAGAGTAATATTTTATCGTAACAAATTACTTTAAATTTACAGTATTACATCATAAATAACACATTACAGTTTTGAAGTAACTTGCCCAAAAAGTGATGGTAGAAAACTCCAAAACCCCCTCTTTAATCTATCAAAACTAGTGAAAGAACAGTGGAAATATCGACTTTTTCTTTCATCCTTCATTGTTGCATAAAAAAATTGTATCCTGAACTCATATAAAAGTGACATTTAAGTCTAATAACACACTACATAGAAGTGCGTGGATGGTTCTTTGTTATCAGCAGCAGTGTCTCTGTAACTCCTCTTCTCTTTCCTTGTACTACTTTGAGTCTCCCTTGTTCCTTGTGATTTCTTTGACACTCTTCTATAATTAGTATTGTCTAAAATGGGCCTATACTGTATGTACGACCCATATAACACTATACAGGAAAAAAAAAAAATCCACTTACACTAATCCACGGAGATCTCATTATCCAGGAGCAAATGTATGGCTTCGGTTTAAATTTCCTAATGAAAGAACAGGCTGTTTACTTGTCTTTTATTTCATTGTTGCAGGAAAATGTTTTATAATTTACTCGGTGCCCTCCAGACATCCGAACAAACTCTTAAGATGATATTAATTTGATAAATCTTCTCCAAAGTTCTGCGCAGTTTCTGGCTCACCTTGACGTTTGGGCCATTTTCTTGAGTAATGTTTGATCTTCTTTAATCATGCGAAGGTGGAAAACATCTGCATCTTTGTTTATGAGAGTAAAAAAAAGGAGCAGGAAACTTTGTGTTGGCGCCGGTTTGAGCTGCAATGGATAAAAAATAAATAAATAAAAAAAAAGCACAAGAGGAAGTGACTTCAAAACTGTAATGTGTTATTTTTTACTTTATTACTTGTTATTTTAAAGTGATTTGTTACATTAAACTAAACCAGAACTGAACCAGGTCTAAACCAGGACTAAATCAGGTCTAAACCAGGTCTAAACCAGGACTAAACCAGGTCTAAACCAGGTCTAAACCAGGACTGAACCAGGACTAAACCAGGTCTAAACCAGGACTAAACCAGGACTGAACCAGGACTAAACCAGGTCTAAACCAGGACTGAACCAGGTCTAAACCAGGTCTAAACCAGGACTGAACCAGGTCTAAACCAGGTCTAAACCAGGACTGAACCAGGTCTAAACCAGGTCTAAACCAGGACTG